CTTCTGCTTGGCATGCTTTGGCTCGGAATGCTGTCTGTCTCTTATACACATCTAGATGTGTATAAGAGACAGGGGTATGGGAGGGGGTTGGGGGCTGAAGGATGGGAGGGCGGAGGACAGGGGGCAGGTGGCGCGTGTGCGAGCGAGCAGGCCGGAGGCAGGGGGCAGTTTGGGGGAGGCGGACAGGGACGGGGGGGAGACGGAGAAGGCACATCTTGATCTTCAGCGCACACAGATCCCAACTTCCAGCATCCAGATGGGTTGGTATCCCCTTGCAGCCAAGACACCGCAGTCTACCATACCCGTTTTTTTTTTTTGTTTTTTTTTTTTCTTCATAAACTGATCTTTTATGTTGCATGAAATTCCAAACAAAAAAGTTGTGATTTCCACAGACATTCTATGTTTCAACTTGTTAAATAAAATTATAAACCTGATTTTTCATTTTTCTGTGAATCGACAGCCGACTGCAGAAGCGTGCAGGCCAGTGAGCAACCACAAGCTGACCATACCACCGTCGCCTCCAAGCAACCACAAACTGACCATGCCACCGTCCTCATCCAAATTGACCGCCCGGTCATAATAGCACCGTATTTGGGCAACAGCAATAATGACTTGACATTCTATTCGGCCAGACCTGGATGAATCTGACCCCAATATCACGTCCATAAATAAGTAAAAAAAAGTCATGGTGTGAATATGCTCTGAGATGTCCCGTACAGTCAAATGGATAAGATTTCAGGGGGGGGGGGGGGGGGAGACAGTTTAAAAAAATCCCAAAAAAAAAAAAAAAAAAAAAAAAAAATGAATGTTATGGAATGGCAAGGTGTACGGAATGGATAAGATTTCAGCGAAAAACAAAAGAAAAAAATTCCAAAAATTCCGGAAAAAAAAAACAACGAAAATAGAATGAATGTCTCATAAGATGTGGATGGAATGGATAAGATGCGAGGAACGGAACGGATAAGATTTTTTTTTTTTAATCCAAAAAAGAAAATAACAGTAAAATAGAATGGATAAGATGTTAAGATGTTACGCTCTGCAAGACTGAAACGCATTAGATCTGTGGAACGGATAAGATGTGCGCAATGGATACAATTCCAAAAACGCAAAAAGTTAAAAACATTTGGACATCAACAAAAAAAAAAAAAAAAAAAAAAAAAACCACCCAACGAAGCTACTGCCAGGGTACAGTAAGATGGACGACCTGAATGATAGACTGTGTTCAAAGTACCTCTAGTTCTTGATGCGTGCGTAGCATATTTGCAAGCATCAGCCCTCTGACCCTCACTCTCACCAAAGGGTTCGTTATCCAGGCATCGTGAATGGCTGAAACAACTCCATCATTAATTCCGGCAGCCCCTGCAAGACGGTAACCCCGTCCGTTCGACATATAAGGGGAAAAAAAAAAAAAAAAAAAAAAAAAAAAAAAGATTGCGATTGGGCACAGTGACCACAGAAATTAAATTAAATTAAATTAAAAAAAAAGAATTGCAATTGGGCGCAATGAGCACACAAATATAAATTAAAAAAAAGGAGAAGAAAAAAAAAGAAAAAGGCTAATTCTTTTAAGCCCAACCATTTTTTTTTGTGCACTCTCTCTCTCTCTCTCTCTCTCTCTCTCTCTCTCTCTCTCTCTCTCTCTCTCTCTCTCTCTCTCTCTCTCTCTCACGACAGCACTCGTTGATGTCTTTTTTTTTATTATTTTTATATCAAGCAGGGTTGCCGGTGATCGGGACGGGCCTAACGCCCGAACCCGAACGCCCGAACATACGGGACCCCTTCGGAAGGCGTTCGGCCGTTCGGGCCGAACGCGGACCAAAAAAAAAAAAAAAGTTTTCACAAAAATTCCGAAAAAAAAAAATGTTATGGAGAACAATAAACTAAACAACATTTGCCTGGGCACTACATCCAAATTTTTTACCAAATTTGAATTAAAAATCAAATACAGAAAATAAACACTATGATAAAAATAAGAAAAAATAAAAAGAGAATTAAAATGAGTGAGTGTGCCAGCACCTTTTCGACACCGCCATCTTTGCCGATTTTTAATTATTGTTTGGCATTGACAAATGACCTGAAAATTTACAGATATGTAGTTTACATAATCAATATGCGAGGCTACGCCCGCTTAGCCCCTACGGGGCCCTATCTGCAACAAGGTCGGCCGCCCTAAGTGAAAGCAGGCACGACAGGCCCTTCGGGCCTCAGACAGTTGCGTTGCGCCAGTTGGTTGAATGAATCCAGGCCCTGGGCCGCCTGATTAAATGAATGTGAAGCAGGCCCTGGGCTGGATACGGGTACCGGGCCAAACACAGGCCGAACGCAGTTGGGCACATGCAACCACTTCAGGCCCAAGGCCTGCTCTCTTCGTGACTAGGCCTGTGCCTACCGGGGCCTACCGGAAGCTTCCTGGACTGGACGCAGGCAGGCCACTTCGATATAGGGAAGGGCCTGCCTCCTCATTCGGCATTCGGGTGCTGGCTGCATGCTGCGTGAGCGCTGCTGCGCAATCCGCTGGCACTCACACTCTCACGGGCGAGTAGGAGGGAGCACGCAGCCATAGCCAAGCTGCGCTGCTGTATGCTAGGTGAAGCGCAGGGTGGTCCTTGGGTGCTAGTGGCATCTGTGCGGTGTGGATCGGGGTTGTGAGTGTTATGAGAGACATACCTGGTGCTGAAGCGTGCTACATTGGTCGCCATATGCTCGTACTTCGGGATCGCTGTTGATGTCATCATTCTGCTTCGTAGTATAGGCTAGATAGGACCTGCCACATGTAGTCTGGGCGCCGAGCGCCAATAGGATATCAACTCTGGTTCGTAGTTGATGATGATGRGACTACTTCAGCATTGTCAATTTTGAACTCTTGGTGTGTTCTTCTTTGGTGTATCTCGTGATGCACGTCTGCTGTGGTTCGAGGTCAAGACTATCTGGGCTCATATGTATGATGCTGTTTGATTGCTGAAGTTCGCTAATGCTCATCTTCGTTGTTATCATCTTCCTTGCAAATAACTCATTATAAATGTTTCAAAAAATAATAATTTTTTTTAGGCCCCGAAATAAAGTGAAAACAAAAAGTTAAAAGTGAAAAAAAACAAAACAGTGAGCGGGCGAGCGCGTTTTGACACCCCCATCTTGAGGATTTTTAATGTTTTTTGGGCTTAGCAGAACGGCTTCGAAATTTATAGGCGTGTAGGTTACATCATAGAGAACTCACAAAAACAAATTCAGAAAAAAATACTTATTTTTAGGCCCCGAAATTGTTTTTGGCGGGGGCCGAACCTGGAGGCGTTCGGCCCCCGACCCGAACAGGACCCCGAACGCCCGAACGTTCGGGGGCCAGCCCGGGGGCCCCCGAACGTTCGGTAAGGTAACCCTGATATCAAGGCTAATTCTTCTTAGCCCAACCAATTTTTTTGTGCAAATGAATACAAGTTCTTTGCTCTAAACCAACGACTATGCAATTCCGTTCAGTGGGAGATGGAGCTGAAACCGACAATACAGCGGACCCTGCTTTGCCGAACCTATTTTTCTGTGCCTGAGTCCTTCCGTTCGGCAAAGAGGGGTACGCTGCTGTTCGGGCAAAGAGCCGTCAATGGCTATTGGTGTAATGGCCATTGCTAACCTTGCTGCCAAATAGCCATTGCTATTGCTGCCAATAGCTATCAATGGCTATTCGTGCCATAGCCATTACTATTGCTGCCAATAGCTGTCAATTGCTATTGCTATCAATAGGCATAGCTGTCAATGGCTATGATACTCAATATCAATTCGTCAATATTAATTACTATAATATTAATTACTATAATCGCCACCATCAAGGACTGAGGGATGTCGATATCAATGGCTATTCATAGCCACACCCTGTAGAGGAGTGCTGGCCCGTCTATAGCCAAATATCCGACTAATTATAGCCATACCTTGAGACCAAACGTGCAAGTTCCTTGTAGGATTTTTTTTTGCTTTTTTTTTGCTTTTTCTTTTTGCCAATTTGTGCTTGTCATCCTTGAATGCGCAGGGGCCATGATTTTATTTTATTATTATTTATTTTTTTTTGCGCAGGGACCATGCTAAGTAGTCTTCTGTGAACCGTTCCAACGAGGGACACGTGTCGGATTTTCACGAATTTCCGAATTTTTGCAGTTTTTTTTTAATTTCCGATTTCCCTCTGACGGTTTTTTTTTTCTTTTCAATTTCCTCCTTTTTTTCTTTTTTAAATCTAATCCTTGCGCAGGGGCCATGCTAATCTTCTCTTATCGTTCCAATTTTAACGGATGTCCCGGAGGAGCGTGGTCTATATAAATAAAAGAATAAACAGAGATAAAAATATTAAAAAAGAGGATTATCCACATGGAAATCCAACTTATACTCGGATATAATAATAAAATACTTGAAATATTATGATAAATTGATAATCTATTAATGGAAAATAAATCTTAGCTTTGCTGGATAACGAACCTCCGATGCTATTGGTAGCCAGCTAACGGCAGATAACGGAAAAGTTTGGGAGCTGTAAGGTAGGGTAAGGGCATACTCACACCGGCACTTTCATCGATGAATCTAGCTATAAATGCGGTCCAGTACATTCACAAATTACAATTGTACGTGGGCGTGTGGGCGTGTGGGCTATGGATAACGTGAGGGAAGTTTCGAGAGTGGCACTCACTTTTTTTTTACTTTTTTTACTTTCTTTTCTTTTGGTGGGGGGGGGGGTGTTCTTGGGAAAGAACTACATAACAGCCTCCTCGGCTTGGTTGCAAACACAAAAACTAGCCCGGTCGCAATGCACCTGGACGTGCATATGCCCAAGTACATGATCTGCCGCTGGATGCGCAGAGGCGAAATGCACCTGGACGTGAAGATGCCCAAGTGCATGATCTGGACCTGAATGTGCAAAAGGAGGAACGCACCTGGACGTGCAGATGCCCAAGTGCATGATCTGCAGTTGGATGTGCAGAGGACCAGGTGCACTCCGACCAGGATAATTTTGTCCTTTAAGGTGCAGAAAATGAGGATTGGATTTGACACCTGAATGTGGACGTGTTCTCGGAACAGGTCCACATGATCTCGAAGCTTCATCCCAATCGAAGACAGGGGCAAGGTCTCACTAGCAAACAGGATTAGATTTGACACCTGAATGTGGACGTGTTCTCGGAAAGGTGCAGGGAAAAAATGGCGATTGATCTGTTTTTCTGCATCTCTGCATCTCTGCATCTCTGCTTAAAACCCATCCAGATTCAGGGGCGCGCTTAACACAATCCGACCCGGCCCCAGGGACGACGTCCTGCTCAAAAAGGTTCTCCATTTTATTTCATTTATTTATTTTAATTATTTAATTATTTTAATTATTATTTTAATTATTTATTTATTTAAATAATTATTTTAATTATTTATTTATTTTAATTATTTATTTATTTTAATTATTTATTTATTTTAATTATTTATTTTCATTTTTAAATGATTTCAGTTTATTTACTTATTTTCATATATTTCTTTTTAGATTCCCCATTCGTGATGACCGAATATAATATGAAGATCAACGACCACATCGACGAAAAATTAAGGTTAAAAAAAAAAAAAAGCCGAGGCTGGGTAAGTGAGGCCTTCCCCCTGAGGTCAGGAAAAACAGGCCTCTGGAAGAAAAACAGAGAACAAAAAAGCGTCTGCGAACCCCAAAAAAAAAAGTCCTAAAGAAAAAGGAGGGATAAAAGAATTCCAAAAAGGCAAAAAAAGGAAAACACCAAGAGCTGTGCAAGAAAATCAGGGGGAAAAAAAAAAAAAAAAGTCTACCTGGCTCCACCACCTTATCCCCCCCGACCCGTGGATTATTCGACCCCCTCTACCGTCTTCCCCCGAACACAACGCACCCTTATTTTGGCCGTATCTGGCCAGAAATATAGCTTGTATACATTCATTTTTAGGGTGCGTTATGTTCGGGGGAAGACGGTAGGTGATATGAAAAATCAAATTGTCCAGGAGCTGCCCCCTCCCCGATCTTTCTAACTTTTTCTTTTTGCCAGATTCGAATTTTACTTTTTTTTTTTTTTTTTTTTTTTTTTTTTTTTTTTTACAGATTCGAATTTCCCCTCCCTCTCTCGGCGGGAGTCAAAAATAATAAATAAAATTAAAAAAAAACAGGTGTGCAAAATGGGGTGCTGATATCGGGTTAGGTTATGGGTCGTTTGCATTTCCCAAGGGGGGAAAAAAGGGTTTTTAAAAAAAAGGGGTTCTTTCCTTCTTTTTTTTTTCTTGACCACATACATCTGAATGTGAATGTGTGTGAAATGTGTGTGAATGTGTGTGAATGTGTGTGAATGTGTGAATGTGTGTTGCTCTGGTCGCAATATACAAAACTCCACAAAAGAAGCCAAGACTCTGCCACGTCACGTCCTACAATTAATTTTCACGTCGTTAATTCCTTATTACTGTCAATCTGTTTATTCGTTTAACATCTACAATTTTAATTTATTTATTTACTTGTTGACGTATCAACCGTATTATTGCTAATTTACAGTATTATGAATTCAATTCGCCGTTTTTTTTCTTTTTTGAGACCGTTTAAAATTAGTGCCAGGCTGTCGCAAAGTCTTCTGTTCAGCTACCCCCCCCGCCCCCTCTGGTTCTCTCTCTCTCTCTCTCTCTCTCTCTCTCTCTCTCTCTCTCTCTCTCTCTCTCTCTCTCTCCCCTCCCCAACCAAGACCCCGCTCCTCTTCCTCTGTAATAAGTCTATATAGCCTCTGTTGTCTTGATGACAGCTTGTGCGCGGCACACTCTCTCATCAACGCTCGGTCGCACCTGTCCCCCCTCTCTCCAGATAGCAACATCATTTTTTTATTTTTTTTTTATTTTTTTTGTCTTTCCTGACGTGTACTTACCAATTCGTACTTCCCGTCGGGATCTGGGTAAGGTCAGTCCCATTGCGCGTAATCGCCGCAGCTCTAGAGGATCAAGCGTTAGCTCCGCCAGCGATGGCAGTCTCTCCCTCGGTTTCTTGCCCTCTTCATCTCCATCGCCACCAAGAACCGCCTGACTCCCGTCATCGTCCTCCACATCATCCTCCTGCTGTTCCCATGGAAAGGCCACTACTCGGCTTTCTTCCCGCGCTTCCACATTTGTCGTTTTCCTCCGATCGCCTAAATCCGCCCCGCCAACGGGAGAGTAGGAGGAGGAGGCGTCCCGACCCCGACCCCGACCCCGACCCTCACCCTCACGTCTCTCACTAAAAGAAGTGGACGACGAAGAAGACCGCTGCTGCGATGTCGGGACAAAGGATTTCATTTGATCTGCCACTCTGGCCAAGATTTCCGACGAGTTTGGCGCGCTCTGACGATCATCAATTTTGGCGGGAGATCGTTTGTCGAACCTCACACTCCTGATCTGTGCGCCATTCCCGCCACCGCCTTCCTCTTCTTCATCCCCATAGCCGTCCTCTATATCCAATGCCAACCTTTCCCCATCTTCTTGTTCCTCGTTTTCGTCATTTTCCATGGTTCGCCGATCACGACGGTTACTCTTCAGATCATCGCGATTTTCCCGCCATTTTCCCCCACCGCCTCTGATTCCTGTCCTTCCATTCCCGCGCGCATTTGTCGTTCTCCACGTTCCCGCCTTTTCTTCATCCCTATTATTCTTATCCTTAGAATACTCGTCCCTCCTGTTGAAAGGATTGGCTCGTTTAGATGATTTCATGTAATCAACGTACGATGACGTGTCTTTGGAGGTGTTGCGCACAGGCCGCTGATTTTGGCGGGAATTCCCCCGCGGTCCTCCTCCTGCTCTTCCCCTTCCCCTTCCCCTTCCCCTTCCCCATCCGCCTTCGGCCCCCCTACTACCTCTCCCGCGCGCGCCATCTCTGCCCGCTCCTCCTAGATCACCTCTGCGCTGCTCCCCCCTCCGTTCTCCCTCTCCTCTGCCGTAAGCGCCAGAGCCGCCGCTATCACCTCCCCCCCACGTGTCATCCCCCCGCCACCTGTCATCCATTTCGTCACTCTCTTGGTTCCGCTGTATTTGTCCGGGGCGTGTGCCACGTGGAGGCGTGCGCGTGCGCTGACGCGCGTCTCCGCCTCCCCCTCTCCCCCCCGCTCCCGCCGCTCCATTCCCCCTACCTCTCCCGCGCGCGCCATCTCTGCTCCCTCCTCCGAAATCGCCTCTGCGCTGTCCACGTCCTCTCCCATAAGACCCATGGCCGCCGCCGACATCTCCCCGCCGCGTGTCATCATCCCCCCGCCGCGTGTCATCACTCTCGTCACGCTGCGCGGATCCGGGGCGCGTGAAACGCGGAGGCGCGCGCGTGCGCCGACGGGCGTCGCTCTCCCCTCCTGCGCCCCCGTCGTCCCTCGACCGGGGGGGTCGGTCCGCTGCCTCTCTCGTCGGCATCCCGATACTAGACCTGGTGCAGCGGACCAGTCTGGTCGGGACTCGCCACCAACAAGACGACGCGGCACGGTTGTCCCCCGCCGCGCGCAGGAGGGGGGAGAACAGCAGACGCTTCCGCTGCTCGGCTATGGAGGACAGCTTGCGTGATGTCCCGTGGGTGAGGAGCGGCAGACTGCCACGTGGCATTCTGCCATCGTTCGAGAGGGTAAGTGCATGATCGGGCTGATTAGCATGGCGGGAAACGTCGAACGGAGAGCACCAGGAGTGAACTCGTTGCCTGCTTCGTTCCTCCGGCCACGTGTCATTCCTGAAGGCCGGGCTAGATTGACTACACGACAAACAACTTGGACAAATTTTGCCCAAAGCCAAAGACATGATTGCCTGCTACCAGATTTCAAACAGATCAGATCAGATCAGATCTGACCAATTAAAATTTGTCGTGATCGGCCAAATTGCACGACCATTCGCTCCGTTAGTTGCCGTTAACAGGATCGCAGCAGGGAAGGAAGGATTCACTCCTCTGATGATCGTGGCGGCGGCGGCGGCGGCGGCGGCGGCGGCGGCGATAGTGGTTTTGTAAGCTATGGCGGCGGCGATGGCGGAAGCGGAGATGTCGGCGATGGCGGTGATGGTGAAGATGCCGACGATGGCGGCGATGGCGGCGGCTGAAGACATAAGTAAAAACAACAGGGCTATCCTCTGGTTCTCTAAGGGATTTGGGAGGGGAGGGTACTTGCGAACGGTCAGCTGCAACTTGAAACTGCAATCTAACGGCAGCTAACGGCAGCTAACGGCAGCTAACGGTAAGCCGAAGAAATCGATTTCAAGTGGCAAGCTAATCAGCTGCTTCGCCCCGGCACTGATGGATCAGGCAGACTCCATGAGAGCTGCCGATCATTGGCCCATTCTTGATGATCGGTGATGGCCATCGATCGTTGATAGCAAATTGTTCCTTCCTACGTCATTGTCATTGTAATCGTGCATGACTGACTCTCGTCGCATAATTACGTGACACGTGGCAGCGAAAATGACTTACCAGCCGACCGCCGACAACGAGTACAAGAGGAACCCCCACCCCTCCTCCTTGTGCTCGGTGCCCACGCCAGCTCAGCAGACAGAGAGAGAGAGAGAGAGAGAGAGAGAGAGAGAGACGTTGATTGATCGAAACGTGGAGGTTAGCCTACGGGTATCGTCGAAGAGGCGACAGATTGATCCGTAGGACCGCCGCAGGTGCCACCAGCTTGACAGCCGACCGGTCGTTGGCGGTTGAGTCACTGGAGGCCGGTCTGCCAAGTCGGCATCGCAGCCTGGGAACCGGATAACGCATGAAAAACACGTAGATCATTTCTCCTGTTGCCTCTACAAAAAGGTGTCGATGGGCCTCGCTCCACTACTCTCCGCGTGCACAAAAGACAAAAAAATATGGCGATGCATCTTTCCATGATCTACAGGAAGATTCATCTCATTTCGGACATTTGGTGAGTAGTGGAGCGAGGTCCCCCGATGATGCATCTGGACGTTGATTCCGTCCATATAGATTTATTTATTTTTTCCAGGAAAAAGAGACAATCCATTATAAAACATGATGAAGAGGTCGGCTATCCTCACAAACACGGGCTAGGTCCCACTAGCAAAGAGAATTGGATTGGAAAAAAAAACAGAAAAAAAAAAGGATTGAACGCCTGAATCTAAATGTCTCAGTGGAATGATGCAGAAAAATCGAGATTGAGCTGCTTTTCTGCTTTTCTTCACAAAACACGTCCAGATTCAGGAGCTTAATCCAGTCCTCTTTTCTAGTGGGACCTCGCCCCCGAGGTAAATAAACGGCACTGGGACGATACCGTTGCTGCGTAGCAACCAACAACATTGGCGAAGTCCTGCTAATGCTCGCTTTTGGGGGGTTGATGGACGGGTTATCTCTAGCTGGTAGAACACCAGGCTTGCCCAGGCACCTGGGTGAGCCCAATG